AAAGTTAAATTTTCCTTCAAAAGGCAACAAAAATAATAACAGTTGTAACAGTCTATGTGCAGTGCACGTTCTGCGAATTAACTTTATATGATCCTAGTGCAGGACTTTATTTAGTTGGTGCACAAAAGTGTGTAGTAACAAAAAAAAAAACTTTGCGCACTTACTAAAAAAAAATAAAGAAATCTTTTTACCGAGAGACGAACCAGTTTAGACGGATGACGGAAGCGGAATTCACTCCGCCATTCTAATATGTCGCAAACTGAGACAATTATATTTATAAAATAATATTTTTGCATGTTTATATCGTAAAAATAGCGATTTAAAATTGATAAGCGTTTTTCTAAAAAGTGCTAAGTCACATTTTTATTGTTTTGAGAAAAACACAAAAAACTAGTTGTTCGGCGAAGATTTTTCTAATATCCGTAAATTTGTAATCACAAATAAAGATGATGAACAAATTTTTTATTGATACTAGCATTTTTAGATTTTATCAATAAAATTATTAGCAGTTTTTGTACGTTTATTAATAAAAAATTCAAATGTTGAAAAAACTCAATTTTTAAAAAAAAGGACTTAAGGTCTTTTAGAAAAACGCTCTTTAATTGGGATGATGTTTAGGATAGTGATGTAAGTTTATACAATTTTACACGGAACTATTGGGACAAAAAAAAAACATCAAACAGGCTGAAAAGTATTAATTAGTTAACTGAAAGAAGCTAAGAAAAATATAGACATAATCATATTTAAAATCGTTTAAAAAAAGTTTTTTTTCTTTTTTTTTTTGGGGGGGAGGGAGGGGAGGGGTACAAAATTGCTGCGTAATATTTTTATCCATTTATTTAACCATAAAATCAAAAATTACGTATTTAATTATTTAATTTACAAAGTTAGGTTCAGTGTCACTCATATAGTTAAAAACTAGTCAATGGAGTGACACCATAATAAAATAAACAAATAAAATAAAAAAGTATCAAGACAAGGAAATAATAAAGAGAATAAACTACATTAATAAACTACATTAATAAAAGTAATAAGAAAAAGAAGTAATAGGAGCAATAATCAGAACAAAAATATTAAAAGAGTAAGAAAAATGAAAAAAAAAAAAAGAGAGAATGAACGGATAAGATAAGATGAGTGTGAAAAAAATGTTAAAGAAAACAAAAATTATAATGACATAGTTTAGAATGATGAGTGCGAGAAAAAATTTTTCGTAGAAAAATATAAAAAAGCAAAATAAAGTCAAACTTAAATTAAAAATATATATATGTTATACACTACTACATAAAATATTAAAGCCTATATTACGCATTACATAGATTAGTTAAACAAAAGTAAATAGTAAAAGCAACAATAACTAATTTTTTTTTTTTTTTCCAAATATTTTAGTTTACATTTGTTAGTTGGTTTTTCACAATATAATGAGAGTAAATAAAAAATTAATACAAATTATAAAGTAAGCAAATACTACTAACGTAACTAAAATTAGGTATCTGAAGGAAGATCAGTAAGATCTTATCGTCAGAACCTTATACTAGTGTAAACAAAATAATTGGTTATAATGTAACGATAAGTACAACAAAATAAAAATAAAATGTACACTTTGTAGTATAGATAATAAAATTTAATAAATATTTCGATAATATAAATATTATTGTCAAATTAAAATAATAGGGGAGAAAATAAGATTTTTCAGCTTAACTTTAAAAAGATGCAAAGAATTAGGTAGATTAAAATTAAAATTAGGCAAAACAATTTTGTTTCAGAGATGGGGTGCACGATAATCAATGCATAATGGGTTAAAATTTGTTTGACAGAAAGGCTCATATAGAAGGTAGTTATTTCTTAGAGCGTATTTATTGGTAGGTTTCAAGGTAATTAAATCATTAAAAACGACAGAGAAAGATTGTTTTTACATATATTTACAAATGATGAAATATTAAAAATATAAAGTTTGTAAATATTAAGTATTCTCATTTCATAAAAAAGTTGTTTAGATTGAGAAAAACGATCAGCAAAATTAATTATACATATTGCATGTTTCTGAGGGCAATAGAGAGATTGTAACTTTTATTTTTCAATGTTTGCTCAAGCAATATTTGTATAATTCATATAGCTATGAACAAATGCAAAATAAAGTTGGGATAAATTTTTTTCATTTATATTGATTTCGGCCTTATAAAGAATTCCAATATTTTTTTAAACTTTAGTACCAACATAATCAATATGTTGCTTCCATGCGATGTTCTCATCAAGGAATACGCCTAAAAACTTTGTGATGCAATCTCTTTTTATTTCAATTTGGTCAATAAAAATATCAGGTAGATTTTAGGGTAAATAACGTTTTTTAGTTATCGAATGAAAAAGAATCCATTTTGTTTTCCTAATATTTAGGGTAAGTATATTGCATTTGAATCAGCTAGAAATTTTTTACACCATGAAATGTACCACATGAAATGTGGTGTACCACAAGGATCAAATGTGGGCGGGGGATCAATAAAATGATATGATGCGTAACAAGGGAGGAGGAGGGGGTCAAAAATGTCCAAAATTGCGTGGCTTTATTTATGGACGACCCCTAAAGACAATCTAACCTAACTCTTTGATATAACAAAGAAGTTACAGAAAATAAAAAGAGATAGTATGATACGCGTCCGCCTGCAATCAAGAAAAATTATGCTAATATTTAACACAAAGGCACATTTGTAACACTATTTATAATATTTTTGTTTTATGTATGTTAATATTATATAATAAACTCATTTGTTCAACTCCTTCAAATAACATGTTAATAAACTAGAAATAATGATTTTGAAAAGAAGAAAAAATCATTAATTGGAATAAAAAATTCTAAATATGAAAAATTCTGAAAGTTTCCCTAATTTGTCCAAAAATTGCTGCAGGGGGTAACTCTTGTCCAATTTTACTCATCTTAGTCTCAATTTTTCGGTTTTCTTATAATTAACATAGAAATTAGGTAGAAAAATTAAATTTATAAAAAAAAAATTTCACTCCACCCTAATGCGCTTGCGGAGTATTCTGGGGTAATATAATTATTTTAAAGTTTGTGGTTTACATTATAAAATAAAGTGCTGGCTATTAACCAATGCTTTTAAAAAATATTATCAAGTTCTTTGCATTAAGTTTTTTTTTTCAAAAGCACCATTTTTTTTCAAAAAAGTTTATCATTAAATGCTTTGGCGTCAAATATAGTTTATATTTTGACATAAAATGTAAATTTTGGTAAATATTTATTTGAAACACATTTAGTGCTTTCATTAGTTCCAATAAGGGTTTGCATTACTAAAATTGTTTTTGTTGTACATTTGTCCTGAGGCATGTTTTTGACGTAAATATAACGGTTTAAGGATCGATTTGTGAATACTAATGTATAAAAGAATGCATAATGTATAGAATGTATAAAACGGGGTAAAACTCAACGCTTATCTTAATAATTGTTTTTTTATAATGTAAAATGATTTAAAAATTTTTTTATTTTTGTTTTTGTTGAGAAAAATGAGCTCTATCCAAATATGTAAAATAAAAATAAAAAAATGATGGAAAGTTTTTAACTAAAATGAATTTATTTGAAAAAAAAAAATTTTCAGTTTTACCCGACATTTCGGTTAAAACTGAACGTGTTAAAGTATTGGTAATTTGTAAGCTCGGACGAATTTTGAATTCGACTCAAAAAAATTCGACTAAATTCGGAATTCGAGGTCAATTTCGAATTCAAATTTTGTCAAATTTGAGATCTGAATTTGAATTCGATTATTAATTTCGAATTCTGATTAATTGGATACAAATTTGATAAAATTTGAAATTCAAATTTGAGTTTCGAATTTTATCAAATTTGGAATAGAATTAAAATAGAAAAAACATTTGCTTTAGCAATTATAAAATAACTCCATGCGCTGCAACAAAATGAGCTTTGTAATAAAATTCTAAAACATTATTGGCTGATTCTATTTTTGCGCGCAAAACTATGCTTTTATTGGGCGATACAGAAAAATTGAACACTTTCAAACGTAGATGTTACAATGAAAAATTTGTAATTTAATAAAAAGATTGCGTGATCAACTAAAAAATTTAACGCAATGACTTTTCAAATGAACTATGCGATTTCCTTCGTGCGTAAATAATGCCCAAGGGAATTGTAGTGTTGCAATCATTATTACATCTCCAAAGAGAAAATCGTTACAATCATTACATTATAAATAAAAGCACTTATAATTTTACTTATTGAAAAGACGAGTTCAATTTTAAACTAAAATTAAGTTTAAATCAAGTCAACATGGTTAAAAAAACTCACCAATTATGGTGTTATTTTGCAAAAATCCAAGCTCTTAACGAAGAGGACAAGAGTAATCCCAAGGTAATTTGTCAGATCAAAGTGCCCGCAGGGGCAGGACCAATTTGTGGAAAGGTTCTGTCCACACCTAACTCAAATACTAGCTCCATGAGAACTCATATTAGGTCTTTACATCCGGAACAGGTCAGAGCAGTTATTTCATTCGAGGCAACATGGTATCAAAAAAGACTAAATGATACTAAGAAGCTTGATAAATTATACAACCAAGTGGAGAAAAGAACTTCTAACAAGAAAAAAGACCAATCTGACCACTCAGATTCAACTCTCTCTAATTCCGGAACTGGTGTCGATGCTTCACAAAGTAAGATCAAATTTTGACTAAAATCAATTTTAAAATAAAATAGCAATCTTCACCAAATTTTAGAACTTAAAATGAAATGGTTTTGATTTTCTATTGTTAATATAAATAGTTATTATTTAATATACCCATTTGGTATCAATAAATTGTTTAAATTAGGTTTCGCTTACCTCAACAAAAGACAAACCAGAAAGAAACTTTTTCGGAAGTTGCCAATTGGTGGTAGGGCCTCATTTGTCACAACCACACCACCATATTTTCAGAGGATTGTCGAGCACAATGTCAGGTCACCTGTCCAGTTAAAATTTGATTTGGCTGCGATGAAGTACTTAGCAAACAGTAATCTTGCCTTCAACCATGTCAATGAGGCAGCATTTCGAAACTTTGTCAAATACTTGGATCCAAAGTTCCACGTGAAGTCCGCCAGAACAATGGTTAGAGCAAAACTTCCTCTTCTCAACCAATTGGTCAAGGAGGCAGTGACGAACAAGATTGTAACAGATCTAAAAGACAATGCCGTTGGTGTAGCTTTCACAACTGATTTGTGGTCATCAAAGTAAGTCATTTGAAAAAATTAATAGTACCTTAATAATTGGATTTTGTTAATTTTTTTACAGGAGAGGGAAATAACATCTGGTGTTCACTCCGGGGCCCTAGGTAAAATCAATTTGTGGCGCCCTAAAAAAGGTTTTGCAAAAGTTTTTCGTCATAATCAAAAACTAAATTAAATTTTTTATTTTTCAGGGATTTTCATGGGCTCCATAGGATCTAAATTTTTGCAATATTCTTCTTCATTATTTTTTTCGTTCGTTCGATTAGGATTGAATTTAAACATAAAACTAAAACCTTTTATTCCATTAACATAAATTATTTTTGTTTTAAATAACTATTTACTTTTTTTTTTAACTTATATAGATATGTTTCAATTTACTAAATATCCAAAGCAATGATAGTTTGTATATAAAAAGAGAAATGATAATTTCTTGAAATTCGTGGGGCCCAAGGCCGTGGCCTAGTTGAACAATAGGTAAATCCGGCCTTGTGATTAACATAGAATGAACTGATAGTAATAAAGTTTGATATAAAATAAAATTTATTTTCTTGTTTAGAAACTTCGATCCATTCCTTGGTTTGACACTTCACTATATCTCAAAGAACTGGACCCTAGGGAAGCTGCTGGAAGTGCAGAGGGTAGACATACATCTCAAAACATTGCTGAACTTCTTGACAAGACAATTAGTGAGATTGTAGGCTTTCCATCAAATGTCCACAAGACCTGCACAAGTTATAATGCAGCTAATATGCTAGCAGCCATCCCAAAACTGACAGAAGAAATTCAGGAGGGCCTTGGGTGTGTTGACCATATACTTAACCTTGTGGTGACTGAGTGTCTCGGCATCCCTGAAGTAAAGTATGCTGTTGATGCATTCAAGAAATTGTCGTCCAGAACTCACAAAAGCAGCATTGCTCAACAGAGGATTAAGAAAGAGTGTGTCAGGATAAACAATCAATCTAAGGACGATACAAACATTGAAACTGGTAATTCATTTCTTTAAACTTTCAAAGTTTTTCAATTTTATGTTTGGATTGTACATTTATTATATGTATATATTTTATTATATTTATTACATATTATTTATTTATGTTTATATTTAGTTATTATATAAATATATATAATATATAATAAATTTGGTTATAACGTGTCGAAATAAGACTTTTGTTGTTGGCCCGGAGCTAAATAAAAAAAGTGGCTCTTTTTATGGCAAAGTTGCACTCTATGAAATCTAAACAAGTTTCTTAAAAAAAGCTCAGCTAAAAAGGTTTGGGTCCCTAAATGTGCAGGGTTTGGGGCTTTATTCCCCTAGCCCCTTAACCAATTTCCGATATTATTGTACATTGTATAGTATAAGAAAATTAAACTCACGATTTAAAAGAAGTTGGCTTTGGTATAACCTAGTTTGACTAGTTTTAAACCAAAATTTTACCAATAATTCTTTTAGTTGAATTTGTCAAAATCATTGCACCTGTTGAAACCCGTTGTAATTCCATCTTGATGATGATGCGATCCATTTTAAAGTTGAGGCCAGCTCTTGAGAGGATCAGAGAGAACTTCAGCAAGGGAACTAATCCCAAGTTAAGAGAAAAAATCCCTACATCAGAGGAATTTGAACAGGTGAATGAGTTAGATTTTTTTCCGAATTATTAAAATTCGTTATTCCCGTTAATTCCGAATATTAAAAATAGTTCTTAAATTAATTTTTTTTTTACTTTTTTTGAATAGTTTTTTTTGAGTATTTAGTTATTGAGTATCAGGCATCCTATCTCAGGGGAGTAAGGATGACCTTACGGCATTAAAAGGGGACTCCACATTGAAATCGAGAGTCTTTTTTTGTACCTAAATTTAGGACTCACTTATCTCCAAGGGCCTCAAAGTTATTAAATTGCTTAGGTCATTTTTAGGAGGAGTAGAGGGGGATGGTTTGTATAAACTTGTTAAATATTAATTGTCAAAATTGTTACAATTTTCTATTTTCAGATTGTTGCCATCATTGGTCCACTCACCAAGATTAAAGAGATGTCTTTATTCTTTTCTTCTGACCAAAAAACAACCATCTGCTATGTTGTGTTAAAACTTTTTAATATCGATGGTTATCTAAATTCTCAACTCAACAAACCAACAATCAGCGAGGAGACCAAAGTGTTCTGCAAAACCCTACAGTCAACGTTGGAAAAGAGATTCCCGGCTTGTGGGACCAAAAACAAGCTCTATGCTTATAGAGCAATTCTCCACCCATTTTACAAAGGACTCACACTTGCCCAACATGAAAGTTCAAATTACAGGGAATGATTGAGCTGATGATAAAGGAGAATGAAGTTGAGCTAGTACATGACTTGAATCACGGAATTTTTGAGGAAGTTGATGAGAAAGACTACAGCATTGAAGCTAAGATTAGGTAATTGGTATTCAAATTTAAAATTCGAATAGTTTCAGGTTAAAAAAATTTTCTTAATAACTTTTTTTTTTTAGAGCTAAAATGAGGTCTTCTCAGTCAAGCCAGTATACCCGGTCACTGTTTGAGGCAGCCATTAGCCCCATGCAGTTGGAAATGAACAGGTTCCTCAACTTAACAAATCCTCCTCCAGCCGATGTTTATGTACTACAATGGTGGAGAAGGCATCATCGGGAGTATCCTCTTATTGCCAAGTGTGCCAGAAAATACCTTTGTGTTCAGGTAAAAAAAACTATATTGAAAATATATATTTTTTAAGCTTTATTTTGAAATAGTTTTATTTTTCAAAAGGGGTAGGGACACGCCAATTTCCAAAATTCAAATAACCGAATTTTTGAACTTTGGTCACTTAAATTTAAATTTGAACTTTAGCCGTTCGAAAATTTTTTTCCAGTCTACTTTCATTTAGTTTGTTTGAACATTTGAAAAAATAATAAACTAATTTCATTTTTCAGACATCGTCAGCGAGCTCTGAGCGAGTGTTCTCATCAGGAGGTGCAATTGTGACCTACCAAAGGACAAAGCTTGATGTTGAAAATGTCCACATGCTAGTTTACTGTAAGGAAAACTAGCCAAAGGTTAAAATCTCCGCAAAGTTTCACGAGGATGAAGCAGAGGAGGATGCTGAAGTGGAACTTCTTCAGGACAAAACAACTGAAGTTTTGATAGAAAGTTCAGCCAAAATTCATTTTGGTAAGGTAGGGGGTAAAGGAAATAAAAAAAAGTTGGATGTTAGTCTTCAAAGTCAATCGAAGGCTGGGTCTACTTCAACCAGCCAATCAACAGTATTTTCAAGCATAAGAGTTGGAACCTCTTCAAGAAACAGAGATGAAAATCCATCAACTATTAGCATACAATGCATTGACAGTGATTGATTATATATGAAAATGTTCCTTTTTGTTCCTTTTATCAAATTTATTATATTGTTTGAAATCAGGAATAACGTTTTTAACTTGGGTAAACCGTCCAGTAACTGACGTTTTTTTGAACCTATTTACATGTTAAATATAATTCTTATTCGTTAAATATAATTTTCAATCGTTATTTTATAAATCTCAACGTTTTATTTTAAAAATAGATTGCTTACTACTTACTTACGATTATTGCTTGACGACCGATTATAAATAGTGGGCAATTGCCCTTAAATTATATTTGCGCTTGTAAATACATTAAACATTAAAAAAAAATTTTCCAATATTTGAAACATTCTACATCCACCCCCGTTCAATTTTTTTTTTTTTTTTCTTTTTTTCAATTTTTACTTTAGGTGTCCGAAAAAGTCCTTACGGTCTTGTCACAGAGTACCGCGAAATAGCATTAAAATAGGAAGTTCACGCCTCCTTCCTTAACGATAGCATGTCCAGACGAGCTCTGGAATCCAAGTTTTCTGATCCATGAAACTCTTGCTTATAAAGAAAGCGCTCTAACCACTGCGCCACGGGCGCATATTTTGGATTTAAATGTTTGTACATTCATCTCATCTTTTTCCATATTAATCTGAAAAAGGAAAAAATTTCAAACTTTTTATGAGTAAATCTTCAGATTCGGCGCACTTATACCTGTTTTTAAAGTTGCTTTGCGCATATGCAAGTTCACACTTATGTCAGTTTTTGCAATTGATTCATATCTAAGCCAGTGTTTGCAAATTCCTTTGGCGCACTTATGCCAGTGATTGCAAGTGTTCGCACTTATGTAGATTTGCCAGTTTGCAGTTACAACATTCGCCATTATGTAATTTTGCAGGTACAAAATTTGCACTTATTTAGTCGGTCTTTAGTCAAACCCCACCCCCACTCTTAATGAGTCATAAAATTCACCCTCACCATATACTGGGTAGTTAAACTAAATAAAAAACTTTTTTCGAGTATTTCTTATACTAATTTGAAAAAGTTTGAAAATACCTAATTTGAATTTGACAAAATTTGAGTAACTCGAATTTACATTTGAATTTCGAATTTGACTAAAATTCGAATTTGACCACTTCGAATTTTATTACACAAATTCGAATATTCGAAATTGTGACAAATTCGAATGAACTCGACCGAGCTTACTAATTTGATTAATTATAATAAAAACAATTTACAAACAGAAAACAATTCATTTAAAAAATAATAGGAATAATTTACAAAAAGATGATATCTTACGAGTTTCGACATTTTTTTGTACAATAAAATTTTTCATCAGTTTTATATTTTTAGGTAAACATGTTTGACGAACCCAGCTTTTGCAATTTGTACTTTCACATGTAAACCATAAACAATTTTCATTTTCGACATTTTCATTCCACAATATACGGCATTTTATGTATTTTTTTTTTTTTGCTTCTTTGAAAGTTTTAACTCAACTTCATTACCAGCATTAAATTCAAGTTTGCGCTTTTTTTTTTTTTTTTTTTTCTTAAGCTTTTCTAAAATTTCAACTTCATTTAGGCATTCACATTCTACTCCTAATGTCAGAAAAAAGTTTTTGTGTTGTGTTGACATTTTGGACTCGAAAATGTTCTTTTAAAGATATTTCAAGTCCAATTACTGCTCGATTCAATGCATGTATTGCTGGCGTTAGTGGACAAATTGGCGATTCAATAGGTTGCAAATAATATTGCGTTGATTGAGAGAATGTGTTAAGATTTTTATTGAATTTCTGTAAGTTGAACTGTTGTAGGCTGAGTTTGTGGAAGTTGTGGAGTTTGTGCAAATGTTTCAGCAATTTGTAATTTGGATTGATAGATTTTATTTATAATAAGTGGAAATATTTTGGGGATTTGCACTTATTAAGTTATTTACATGACATCAACCTAGTCGACAAGTATTACTTACTTTGAGCAGTGTCCAAATGGTCAGTGTCTATGGTCAGGTCAGGTTTATCCTGCTACTGGTAACATGTAACCAAGTACAATCTGCTTCATGTTCTGCTGCCTTGTAGGATATGCCTTTTTAGGCAAAGGCTAGGAGATGCAAACTCCGACATAAAACACCCCTGCCTTGGGGCTCTTAGTTGAGTAAAGGCTAGAGATGGTGTCTCAATAAAAATACTCATCTTGGGCAGATGTTAAATGCATCCGGCTGCTGTCTTGTAGAAGACCTCCTAGGCAAAGACTTAAGGGGTAAACAGATTGTATCTGTTGACCAGCCTCGCACCCCTTCTCCATCTATTAGGCTGGCGCAGATGTATTTTTAATACATTGTTTCCAGTTTAGGATGTTGAACGCTGGATCTTCTTGACTCGATGCATGGGTTTTGCTTGTGCCTCTGTTTTTATGACTAGGCAACTCATTCTATTATCTCAAAATGAGGGTGCAGCTCTAAAACTCAGTTTTATGGTTCTGAGGCCAGCTGGTAGTCAGGTTTCCCGAACTCTGTGTTAGCTCTCAGAGTGGCTGATTCCATCAACAGCTGTAAAATATCAGAGTACTAACAGTGCCATGTTGCGCATGGATGGTGTTCCTGTTTGTACTTTTGGTGTGCATTGCCAAGGCCACATCGGAGGCCTTTGTTACGGCTTAGGGTTTATTAGTGGAAATGAGGCAATTGTTTGAGCTATAAAACAGTGTACTGAGTACTATCTGTGTTTCGAGTCAAGTTCTTTAACAAATTTAAAAATGAATAAAGTAACAAAAACTGTATAACACAAAAAACCACAGTCATCACCAAGTTCGCTAAACCTATCATTTACCAATATTCGTGGTCTTCGAAGTAACTTTTCTTCTGTTGAGTCTTATCTCTTGCAAAGTTCACCAGACCTACTTGTTCTTTGCGAGACTAATTTGAGTTCAGCTGTCTCATCTTGTGATCTTAGTGTTGATGGTTTTCTTCCTTTAATTCGTAAAGACTCTAATAGTCACATGCTAGGCCTGGGCATTTACATTCGTAAGAATTCACCCATTTGTCGGGAAACTAGGTTTGAATCCACAAACTACTCTTTTATGTGCTTTCGTTTAACACCACTTCACTCAATCGCCTTTCTCTTGGTTCTATATCGCTCTCCCTCTCTCAAGACTGCACTCTTCTTGATGTTATTTCTGATTATATTGACCAAGCCCTCATTCTTTATCCATCAGCCAATATTGTTGTTGTCGGTGACTTTAATGCTCATCACACGGAATGGCTTGGCTCTAGTGTCAGTGACTCTTCAGGCATTAAGGCCCACAACTTTTGTCTTTCTCAATCCCTAACTCAAATAGTCAACTTTCCAACTCGCTTTCCAGACAACCCGAATCATTTACCTT